AAGCACAGCTTAGGCTCTTCTGTCTCAGAACCTCTTGCAAACTTCCAAATCAGGAGGGAATCATCTCCTTCAAAGATGAGCAATAATTTAAAAGAAACTGGTATACCAAGTTAATATCAAAGAGAGAGAGAGAGAGGGAGGAAGGGAAGGCGAGAGAGAAGAGGAGAGACAGAGAGAGAAAGAGAGGGAAGGGACAAAAAGGCTACCGTGGAGCAAATGGTAAATATAACCAAACATTGGTACATTATCTCAAAACTTAAAAAATACACACTGAAGCCATTGTCTCTGTAAGAGATCGAAACAGAGACATAAGAGCTCAAGGAAAATTGGGCAAGGCAAGACAATGGAAGGAGATGAAACATAAGCATGTAGAGATCAGAAAAGCAAAAGAAAAGGAGAAGAAGGCCTCCTCCATGGGGAAAATACTACGAAGTGTCTTGCTCTCTGCTGCTCTCTGTATGTACCAGGTCATGTTCCCTAACTACATTAAAGCACAGTGGGACTCTCTGGCTGTACATGTTGGTGTCTTTTATCAGTTGTCATCAGCAGTGTTACGAGAACAATAAGGAAGTATGGAAATAAATGATGCATCCAATTCAAGTCATAAACAGAAAAAAAAATTAAAGAAGAACAAAATAAAGTTAATCAAATTAAAAGAAAAACTTTATTTAAAAAACCCCAGAGTGGAACTAATAAATAAATGCAAGAGCCAGTTCTTTGGGAAAAATACTAAATAAAAATAAGCCATTACCAATATAATCACAGGAAAAAAAATAAAAACACAAATACACCAAATATGACATAATGCTGGGGATATAATTATAGAAACATAGAAAATAAAAATAATAAAACAGGATATAACAATTGTAGGCAAATACATAAGAGAATTTGGATGAAACAATTTCTTTTTTCCTGAGAGAATACAAATTATTACAAAATGATCTCTAAAAGGATCCAGCAATCCTACTTCCAAGTATAGATCCAAAAGAAATAAAACTGGTATTTTTGAAAAGATGTATTCATTCCCATGTCATTGTAGCATTATTTATAATAGCTAAGATACAGAAATAACCTAAGTACCAGATGAATGAATAAAAAAGTGATATATATCATATATATATGAAAATTATTTAGCCATAAATAAAAGGGAAATCCTGCTGTTTGCAAGAACATGGACGGCACTAGAAGACATTATACAAAGTGAAATAAGCCAGAGAGAAAAAGACAAATAATGTATGAGCTTACTTATACGTGGAACATAGAAGAAGAAGAACAGGGAGAAGGAGAAGAGGAAGAGGAAGAAGGAGGAGGAGGAGGAGAGAGGAGGAAGGAGGAGGAAGAGGAGGAGGGCAAGAAGAACAAGAACAAGAACAAGAATGACAACTCATAGAAACAGAGAACATAATGTGGTTGCCAGGGGCTGGGGAATGGGAGAAATAGAGAGATGTTGGTCTAAGGAAGCAAACTTGCATTTATAAGATGAATATGTTCTGGGAATCTAATGTACAGCATGGCAATCATACACTGTTTCATATACTTGAAATTTGCTAAGAAAGCAGATCTTGAGCATTCTCACCATAGACAGAGTGATGGATATGTCAATTAACTCGATGGTGGTAATCATTTCACATATATGTGTTTGTACAATCATCACATTGTGTACTTTAAATCTACACAATTTTATTTGTCAATTATATATCAATAAAGCTGAGAAAATGAACTCAAAAGAGAAATATCTAAAGATGATGGGATAAGAAGACAGAAACATAAATATCTGAGTTGAGAGTCAAGAATTACAGACATCACAAGACACTCACTGTCTATGAGAATGACAGAGTCCAGGTACAAACAATTTGTTAAATTGTTTCTTGTATTGATTGACCTTTGCTGAATCCAAGGAAAGCAACTGTAAGGCTTTCTCAGAGTAAGAAGAAGTAATAAATAAGACAAGGGGGCCAAAAGCACATGATTTTGATAAGGCAGAAGGGCATGAATATAGAGAATGGGGACTGGAAGAAGCTGCCTCAGAGGCAGACTAGAAAAAGTTTGAATCCTAGAGCTACACTCTAGAATTGAGTCATCCCATTGTGGGAATTCCTTGAACCCATTCCTTCTTTCTCTACCAGATTTGATGATTCCATACTTTTTTCCTTTTTAATGCCTGAGTAATACTTTGCACCACTGGTAAATTGTCTGGCCCTTCAGCTGGGTAACCTCTTTCAGGAGAACAAGGACCACATCTCTTTTGTCCAACATTGCATGACCATTGTATACTACCCTTACATTGTGCCAGCCATGACTTATTTGTTGAATGAATGAATAGGGCAGGCTTGACCTTTTGGACAAGAAGTAGAGAACAATAAGGAATGTGGCTGCAGAGACAACAGTTTCTGGCTCAAGGAGGAATTAAAGAGGTACAACATCCTATTGAGAATGGGGCAACTACTCTAGACTTAAAGATGGAGTGGGAATGGTAGAGTCTGCGGAGAGGCTGGAGGGATGGGTTGGAGAGATAATCTACATTTCACAACATGGTCATTAACATCAAGGGAAGTATGGTTCTGTGCCTTGCTTTTAAAAAGTTGACTTCACAAGCACATCTGGAGAGATCTAGATTAACCCAACATCACAAGTAAAGGGAAAAAAAAACCAGACTGAGTTCTTGGTAAACAGAAACTCAAAATGAGTGACAGATATGATGTGACCGTCAAAATCAAGAGAGGCTGCGTTGATAGATTCTACAATCTTCAGTGATGAAGATGACAGGCTTGAGTTGCTCTGGGCTGTCAGGCTATTGTGTGGCTTTCCTTTCTGAGTTCTACCCTTTAATAAGTGTAGCATTCAATTTGAACATATTCAGAAGAGATGCCCCCAAGATGATAAAAGATGTTGAAAAGTAGGTTATGCGAGGAACAGTTTGAGGAACTGTGGCCATTTTGCTCAGAGAAGGAAAGATTGAAGAGAGGCATGATAACTGGCTTTGAGAATCGGAAGGGCCGTCAAGAGGAAGAGCCTTTCTTCTAGTGCCAAAGGACCTGGAGGGCAGACTGAGCACGGATAGGCAGGAGCTACAGGCAGACGGAATTCTGCTCAATGCAACCGAGGACTCGGAGACAGAGCTCCATTCTTGGAGGAGGGAGGGCTGCCTCAGCAGCTGGGGAACAACCTGTCACCAGGGTGTCCAGCCCAGGCAGTGTGATCGAATGCAGCAGGGCTGGTCTCGCCCCCAAGGGCTACACTGAGTTCTAAATTCCCTCCCAACACCGAAATCCTGGGATCCACGAGCCTTTTGACTTCCATGTTCATTATGAGGATCATTTGAGATTACTTTTGTGAAAATGCTTTGTGAACACTAAAGCGTTTTACAAATACAAGGTATGGTTACTATTTTCGTAGTAAAATAGTACTTTGGAAGCACCGTGGAAGACTTCAGTTCTGCCTCGACTGCCATTTTCTCTGCTTATCTCTAATCTCTTTTCAGCCTCATAAAGATTTCTGATTTATAAATACCAAATTTAATAGTATCATGGCGACTATTATCCCTGTCTAAGATTTCAAATGTTCAAAATGCTTCGTAAATAATAAATGATTCTTCATTTTTCACTAATGAGGCAAAGGCCCTCTATTCAGTATGCGGATCGTGGTTCTGATCGTATGGCGGAAAGGGACAGGGTAGCTAAATTATTACACACTGTCTTATGGGAAAGAACTCACTAAAATCAATAGCATCCTCACAAAAATCTGTGTAACAAAAAAGTATCTACATTAATAAACAATAAACAAACACATGAATAAATAAACCTCAGAGTCTATGCTGATATAATCTGACCTATGTTCTCTATCCAGAGTGACCTCTGGTGGCCCATCAGCTCTCAGGCAATGAGGATAGCTAGTATTTGATGGCATAGCTTACTTGTTACCAAGTGTTAGAACTTAGAAAAATTAATGGCCGAATAAATAAAGTCCCAATTCTATTTTTTGGGTGTTCAAAATATTTTCCCCACCAAACCTTAATATCATCTCTAACAAGTAACAACTTGAAGGTTTTGAAATATTTCTTTTTATTTTTCTGTCCCCTTCAGGAGATTTAACAGAGAGTAAACTAGGGGAACCAGAAAGAGAGCAAACTGGATGTAGACTCTCCTAAAAAATAGTTAACTAAGCTACAAAGCAACCCTCACATCTGAACATGTGTTCTCAAAACTGTTTATGCATTTTATTCTTGGGCTGAGCCAAATCCAGGTCAGAAAGGGGATTTGGAGGCTGAAATTTATACAAGGCAATAAGCAATAGACAAAAAGTCAGTCTCAGATAAGGAGAAATACAAAGACTTTTTTGATACACTCCTCTCTTGCTGCTATGTATCATTAGGAAGGAGACAGATTTTTAAAAGAAGTTTTTAATTTATATTCTGTATGCAGTCTAACACATTCTGTGTTTATTTTCTGTTAATGAGGTTTAACTTTTAATGTAGGTTATGCTTGTCCGCATGAAGATGATATCTGTGAAATCTATTAAATACTTTTATATATTGTGATTATAATTCTCTAATAATAAGGGGATTTCCAGGAAATCCCTACGAGTTGCTATTAAAAGTCAGGAGGAGGCAGGAATAAATAAATCATTGGCTAATCTCTTATGCTCATTGTCAGCATCCCCAATCCATCTTTGCTAAAAAAGGTAAGACAACGGGGCCTGTCTTCAGCAAACCACCTTATTGCATGGTTACCCTCATATTAATCTATGCTTGAAGGACCAGCTCTGGATTGAACACTTGACCCTTGGTAGGTCTAATGGGGGCCTACTAGTGTTTGATAAATGTTCATGATTTATCAGCATTAAGAAGGGGCAATGCAGAGCTACTACAGTAATGTGTTCAATAGGTTACATTGACATGAACACAAGTAAAATATGTTCTTTTCATGAAGCAGAGGGTGGATCTTTGAGGAACATGGGCTTCAACAATGTAACATCCTCCGTTCCTCAGGGTTGGGACATACCTTGATTGCCATAGCTGGCATCGATCCCAGAGCCATCCCACGAGTCCACAGCACTGTCCACACTGGGCACGGTGGAGGGGTACATGTCGGTGAGTTTGCCGGACTTCTGTGAGGGAGAGGGGTCCTCCTCGACATCTCCCAGGTCACTCAAGTGGCTGGGAATGGGGAATTTCTTGGGACTTGATGCTGACTGAGCTTTAAAGACAGGGAAGCAGTTTAAGCATCAGAATAAATTCAAATAAAAAGATATCAAACACTCCCTAGATAGAGAGTCGTTTTCCTAGAAATATACACATAGACATTTGCACATGCTTTCTGGAATGGAAATGCACTGGAAATTCTTAATTGCGGCTCTCAACCCACTCACCATCTGTCTGTTTCTTAATTTTCAAGGTGACAGTCTCTCCTGCCATCTGTAACAAATGGATGGCTTCACTCAGAGGCTTCCCTTTCAGGCTGCTGCTGTTGATGGCTAGGATTCGGTCTCCGATGTGGATTGCGCCAGTTCTAAAACACCGAACAAGAATAGGAAGAGTAGAAATCATCCCTGCGTGCTACTGAATATCAATTCCCAGCCGGACCTTATATATTCATAACAGTAAAGACTTGGCAAGAGTCTCTAGAAGCCACTGCTAGTTTTCTCCTGGGCAATGTTACAAGACAACTGCATCTGTTGTGAATTACTTTTTAGTTTCAAATAAAAGGAGAAAAATTGTTTTAATTAGTATTTAAAGTGGACTTGTGTGCTTGTTAAATTCCAAGAAAGCTGAGTCATTTGGTAACTCTCTTAAAAATCCCAAGGAAACAAACAATGTCGGACAATAAATGTAGTATGTTTAGCATGGGGCACTTCTTCTTTGTACAGGTCTAAAATGTTGGACGTAATCATTATCCCAGCTCACCGGAAGTGATGTTCAGAGAGATCTGCGGGGAGTACTCCAGGCCCTGGTGTGGCAGGGCCCCCGATGGCGATTCCAAGAATCAAAAAAGGCTGATCTCAGGAATCATTTACAGTCACACACCACATAACAATGGAAATATGTTCTGAGAAATGTGTTGCTAAGAGATTTCATTGTCTTGAGAACATCAGAGTGCACTTAGACAAACCTAGATGGTACAGCCTACCACACACCTAGGCTAGATGGTATACAGCGTAGTGCTCCTAAGCTACGAGGCTGTATAGCATGGTACTGTACAAAACAGCATGAAATCAAATCAAGCACAAGAGAAAGTGAAGCAAACATGAGCTATATGAGTCTGCCGCCAGCATAACACAATGTACTGTTTTACAGCAAACATTTTTATATAAGTAGAAGTAGCACACTCTAAAATAACAGTAAATAGTATACTAACTACATAAACCAGTAACATAGTCATTATCATTATCAATTATTAGGTACTGTCTATAATTGTATATATATGTGCTGCACTTTCATACAACTGGCAGCGCAGTAGGTTTGTTTGCACCAGCATCACAGCAAACACATGAGTAATCCTTTGTGATACCACGTTTGGACGGCTATGGAGTCACTAGGTGACAGGAATTTTTCTTATGGGACCACTGTGGCCTATGTGGTGATCATTATGCGGCACATGACTGCAGTGCTACGTTTGAATCCAACTCTGCCACCTGCTGGCTGTGGGACCTGGGGACCTTATTTTAACCTCTCTGGGTGTCAGTTTCCTTATCACTACAATGGGAGTAATCATCTTACAGGGAAGCCCTGAAGGTTAAATAGGAAAACATATGTAAAGGGCCTAGTAGGTTATTGGAAAAGTGAAAAAATTAATTTTTTGATCAATAAACTAATAAACCTTTGGACTTTCTCCTCCTCTTCCCACCCCCACACAGTTCTGAACTAGCAGACTGGAACTTATAACGCTGGTGTTCAGCGTATTTGCATTAATTTGGAAGCACTGGATGGGGAAGGAGTAGACCCACAGCAGGCAATTCAGGGACAGTGAAAAAAATATCTTTACTCTGCAGGCTGCAGAGCAGGAATCCCACGTGCTAGCCTCCTATGCACTGCTCACTAACTGCACTAAGTGAAGGGTCAGCCCAGCTCCCAGGGCTGCTTGTGACTGAGTGCTCTGCCCACAGCTGGGGCAGTGGGCAGCTGTGCTGGGCAGCAGAGGCAACACTGGGTCACGAAGGTTATGAGTGGCTGCTTAGTAAGTCCACCAATGCCTCAAATAATTTTTTCCCTGAAAAAAAAATCACTTCATTCTCTCACAAAGGATCTCCAGTTTATGAAAGATCTACGCTGTAAGCCATACAACACTTGACCAGTAGCTTGCCACGTCAGATAAATATTCATCTTTTCTTGTTTTCTCCTTGGGACAGAAGGACGCCTAAAGAATACCATATTATAGGCATCTCTGTTAATATCATAGTACAAAATTCCTAGAGAATAACCTTTCTGAGTGGCCTTAGGGCCCTCGTCTGGCAGATGAAGATGCTGGATAAATAGAATTCTAAGGTACTTTGCAGCTCCAAACTTCTGCAATGCTACATCTCTATTTTGAAAACTCTCGTCCTCAAGTGTAGGCCTGAGTGATGTGTGCGCATTCCTGAGCTAGGCAGCTGAAGTACAGATCTGGCTGTGACGCTTGGAATATCCTCCCCACAGCATGTCTCAGGGAGAGGCAGTTTCATGGGAGGACGGGGTTGCGTGCTAATGAAAACAATTTGCCAAAGGAATAGGCTGACATTCCAAATTGCAAGATATTACTAAGATATTACACTTGGTTTCCTGAAATCTTTGAAGACAAGGGCTGTGTCATCCTCTCCCGAAAACAAGGCAGCAGAGGCCAGTGTCTGTCAGGTAACAGAGGCTCAGTGAACGTCTGCTGAATTGAAGTGGACAAGCCTGTTAACCTCCCTGAACTTTAGCCTCCTTCTTTCAAAGTGGACGCAATATAAATCTACCTCCAGTCAATTGTGGTCAGTTTATACATTTCTAGAGGCTAATATCAATGCTAAGCTCATGACACCTTTGACTGCCAGGAAGATGTCCTTCAAAGTCAAGTCTGAGCAACAGCTGAGAGTTCTTAAGCTCTAAAGTCACTCCTTTGTGCAGATTTGAAAAAGTCAACAAATGAACTGAGCAGGAGAGGGAAGCATGTCTTTATGTGGCTGTGAGGAGGAAAAACTATCTCAGACACAGGTAATTTTAACAGTTCCTTCAAATTTTTACCTTTCAGCTAATCCCCCTTTAGTGAGGCTTGAAATGATTATAGGATCAAATGGCTCTTCAGTTCCTGAAATCGTGATGCCAAGGGGCCCCCCATAGCGCTTAAGCTCCACGGTGTAAATAATTGCTCCGGAACTTTCTTGTTCATCTGCAATAAATGCCAAGGAATCATAATTGGTTTCTTTGGAAAAAGGAAAGTAATAAGACACATATATTCAGAAAGAAAATAAGAAATTCAGAACATCATCATCAGGGCATTTTGTCTCAGGAAATAACTATTTTGGGAAGTAGCGTTTCCTTAGTCGGCTATCACACCCTAACAGAGATTGAGGTCGGTTCACTGCCTCATGGTTTAGGCTTTAAAACTGTGAGCGGTCTGCTCAGCCGGCACCGCAGCCGCTCCGGCAGGGCCCAGGCCCCGCCCCGCGCGCGCGCAGCGTCGGGCAGTGTGGCATCAGTGCTGCGGCAGTGAACGCCGGGCTGAGGGGCCGTCTGGGAGGTGAGAGTCAGTCGTGCGGTGGCGAAGAGGTCGAGCCACACAATTCCTGTTTTCAGGCTTTATAAGCAAGCTCACTTTCAATATCAAAAAGTTGATTTTACTCAGGGTTGGAGCACGCTTTAACATTCACATGGTTAAGTGGAACTTAGAGGGGATGGATTGGAAATCTAGAATCCTTTATATATCATTCCACTGATTGTGTCTTAAAATGTCATCCTATTCATGAATTCATGGATATTAAAACAGAGGTTTGATTGATTATCTCTCTTCTGTTCTTGAGACTAAAAGCCATGTGAGTTATATTTCCAGAGCATATACCAGGCTGCCATACCATTATAAATTAATTTTTGCTAATGTTTTCTTTTCTTTTTCTTTAAAATTTATTTTTATTGTTGACACTCTTACAGATGTCCCCATTCCCCCCCTTTGCCCACTTCCTCTGAGCCCCCATCCCCCCTCCCCTCTGGCCATCACCGCACTGTTGTCTGTGCCTATGGGTTCTTTGGCTAATTGCTTCATCTTCTTTTTGCTATTTAACATTAACATGGAGGGGGTGTGAAATGTGGTTTGCCTAAAGCACTGGTCTGAAAGATGTCATGAGATGCCTTCAACAAGCGTGGGTATTTTGACTGTGAGGAGGTTGCAGATATGAAGTCTCAGGATCTTATTTGCTAATGGCATGCTGAAGGGTTTTGAGCATTTCTTGTTTTATTGCTTGGGGCTGGGAGCCATGAATGGTTAAGACGCTATTTCATTTCTATACCTAGAGATGCAATGAAATGGTCCAGTATCTACTTTAACCAAACAGTGAGCTTTTATAGTCAGACCGTATCATGGTGAAGCATCAACACAGTCACATTTCTGCAATGAGCCCCATTCATTTATGATATGAGACCCTAAAATAAGGATGAAAAGGAAGGCTTGAATTAACAATTCAAGTATTTGTGTGTGCTTGAAAAATTACAACGAATATAAAGTGACAGGTTTACAGTGGTGTGTTGGAAGCGATGTGTCCTCTCCCACCAGCACTCACTTCACCTCTGGCTGTGGGTGGGGAGTTCTGAAATGTGCCCATGGCCTGCACTTCCTCAGCGCTCTACTCCTAATAGGCTCCATACACACAGGATTAAGGACCACCTGCCACCCACTGCAGTGTTTAGGTCAACATTTCTGTGTATAAAAATCTTCCACATTAGACTCAGTTTATATTGGCAGCAGAGAATCCTCTATATCAGCAGTTCTCAGCCGTGTGCTGCAGCGCACTGACGAGCCGCAAGCATTTTTAAACCGTGTGGTACCTGGCTATTTAGTCAGGGGCACTGACCTCTTTTCCCTCAGCTTGTGAAATAAAAAATGACCACAGCCAACACAGCAAGAGCCATTCTGTGTGAATAAATCAAAATCATACCTATTTTTTTTGTCAGATTGGCAAAAGAACATTTATGGATGTGCTACAGAATTTTAGTAATTAGTTTACATGTGCCATGTGATGTAACAGGTTGAAAATTGCTGCTGTAGATCAAGCCCTCAATAGCTCTGTGTGATGGTTCACAAACTTCTCGCAGGTTTTTACTTAAGCTGCGGCCAACAGGCTGGTGATAGTTTGCTAGGCAGCTACTGAGGCTGATCATAAATTTAAAATTGTTAATGCCAGGTGATGTATGATGGTTCATTATACCATTTTGCTCTATGTTTAAATATTTGAAGTATTTATAATAACATTGAAAGATTTTAATAAAATGTTTTATTAAATAATACTTAATTTAATAAGTTTATAATACTCGATTCAATATTTAATTAAAAATTTTTATAATATTTATTATCATAAATATTTAATTTAATAACAACTTTGATTCCCTCCGAAAACTCTGCAGATGCCTTGAGTAAACAGATATTTAATTAGTGTGGCTTCCTCGTTTTCCTAACCGGTGGTGGCGGCAGCGGCCTGGACACTGTCTCATCCAGCTGTTGCGGCCCATTTGCCACTCAGGCAAGGTCCCAGAGCATCCCACTGCCACCTGCTCGAGCGGAGGCCCCCATCTCAGCTCTGCCCAGGTTTTCAGAACAATAGTTTCTTCTGAATTTTTTTTTTTCTGGTAGGGATCCAGCCTTTGCCCCTCTCTTTCCCATTCATTTTCACCAGTGCTACCAACTATAATTCCTTTTCTTTCCCTCCTAGAATATTTTAAAGGCATAAATGTGAACACGTTACTCTCTTACTTGATGCTCTTCATTGGTTCCCAGTTCTATAAGAATTAAGTACAACCCCTTTCTTTGCATGGGCTGAGCTGGAGCCTCTATGGCTCTTGAGGGTCACCATCCTCCCATTCCAGTTCAATCTCCTAAATTCTTCCTCACTGTGTTACTTTAACAGCACTTGTCTGACATCTCTAACCTTGCACACATCACTACTTGTACACAAACATCTTTCTTCCCTCGGAGAATTTCTACTGTAACTTTAAAACGTGCCTCAGAGGGCTTGTCTTTCAGGAAGGCCTCCGGGCTCCTCAGCTGGGGCTAGAGGCCTTTGAGCTCCCCCAGTGCCTATGCATTCTGCTAGTGTTTCTCTAGTATTTCAATTCTTGCTTCTGCCCCCAACAAAGAGAAAAATTAAATTAAAAATCTTCCTAACGAGAGGAATGTGAAGGAGTCAGATTTGCTCAGGTAGGGCTGAGCTTTGGAGGGCTACTAACCATTATGATGTAATATCTAAGATTCCTTACACTCCGAGAACCGATTTTTGCCCCCATCGAGAAGGCAACCTCTGGCATGCTCTCTTCATCAAATGTTTTAATTATTTCTCTCCCTGTCTCCTCCATTAGAATAAGATCACCTTGAAAACAAAGATTTTTATTTTCGTATCCCCAGTCCCTGGAACTATGTCTAGAATTACTACCTGGAAATCCACAGATGCCTGAATAAATGAATAAAGTAGGGGAATTGACTGTGGAAGTGAGAGGGGAAGGGGTAGGAGTAAGCAACGGGGAGAAAGGTGGGACAACTGTAACTGAACAACAATTTAAAAAGAACCAAAAAACAAAACTAACGCTCTGTCTACCTTTGACTGTCTACTAACATTCTCATGGGAAGAAATAACCAGAATATTAACTTCCAATGGATTCTCAGTCCTATACTCTACCCTGAAACTAAGCCTAAATAAAAGGTTTTACACACACACACACACACAGAGAGAGAGAGAGAGAGAGAGAGAGAGAGAGAGAGAGAGAGGATGCCTGAATGTTGGTGTTAGCATCCAGGTTCTGATGGGATAGTAAGAAATTAGGAAAATTCCTAGGCCACTAGAGTGGGGAAAGTGAGACAAGAAAATTAAACAAGGTCAAACAGTTTGAGCAACTCACAGTCAACTAGTAAATCAGGAGACCCTATCTCCCCTAACCAAGGACACTTGAGAGCAAATGGCTTATACCTCTCCTTCCTAACCAGAGAATATATAGCCTAACTGGCTATAAGCCACAGGTGTCTGGGGAAGAGAGGAATGCTGATGCAAATGAGAGATAACACCTGAGCAAAGGGAGTGAGCTTGGGAGGAGGCGGCACAGCTCCCCTTTCAGCCCCGCCCCCCTTAGTCCCAGGGAAAGGGCAAGGCTGAGCACCCCCTAGGACCTTCCCCTCCCCAATTCCCACGTTTCTGCTATATAAACTTGCTTCTCAAGGGGAAGCTCAAGGGGAAGGTGGATGTCAGCGTTTCTACCCACCACCTCTTCAGACTGCTGGCCTTTGATGTTAATAAAAGTGCAGTCATGATCCAGTCCCTGTTTCTGCTTTTTGGCTGAGCGGTGACAGGCAGCATGAGCTTCAGACTCCACTCAGTTGCCCTCCGGTTTCAGTTCCAAGGGAAGAGCTCTCCAAGGGAGCTTTGTGGTCATCCTCCCTGCTCCTCCAAGGTCTAGTTTCCTCCTCCAAAGTGAGGCAAACCTAATGTGGCTCATTCGAAGTGTGAGAGTGAGACCTGGGCTGCCACTGTGGGAACCAGCAACCCTAAACATCCTCTTTTCACAGTCCCAAGAGTGGCTGAGCCAGCTTCAGGCAGCACTTCCAGCTCCTGCTGCCTTCTAGGGCTTTATTTAGCTCAACTGGCATGTGAAAGGCTCTGCAGCTTAGGAGCAGGATGGTAACTGCCCGGGCGGCGCAGGCGGTTTTGGAGGTGGCAGCACTCCAAGTCACTCTCTCCTTGAGGCTGCTCCAGCTTAGAAAGCAGCAACTGGAGTGTTTAACCAGAACAGAAACTTTCTGAAAAGGAAAAATGCAGGATCACCAGTAAGTTGCAAAGTGAGCCTAACCAGATGGTAATGATATTATAAACAGCTTTTATATTACAACAGAAGGTTTACAACTGTTAGTGAAAGACATGAGAGGGGGCCAGCCTACTTGTTTGTTCTGCTCAGCTCTAGTTAAGAAAATGAATGGGACCAAGGAACAGATGCAAAATTGCAGCGTTACTTATGGGCAACGTTATTTTCAGGCTTCTTGAGCGCCGCCTGTTTAACAGAATGAACACTATCTGGCTTGAATCCAAAACGGCAGCTGCTCCTGCGGCCGAATAGGAGGCTTGGATTTGTGAGAGAGCCTTGGGAATGCATAAACGTACAGGTCAATCAAAGTTCATTTCTACTGAAAGTGATGGAATGCACTTCAGAGTATAGCTACATTTCTTGGAGGGGGACAGGCCTGTGTAAATAAACCGTTTAGAACAGCTTCTTCCTTAATGTTATGTGATCTAAGCAGAACCTTAGAAATTACTGGTGTTTGAGACAGATTTGGAAGCCTCCATTTCTCTTCCTGCAATTCCTCCAAATTCTCCACTGTTTTTGCTTCAGGGTTCCTTTTCAGATCTCCCAATTCTCCCCTCTGCCTTTACATTGGCTCTAGATGCAATCACGGCAAAACAATAGATTCTATTTCAAGAGGGTTATCTGCATCTTTGGGCACCTTGGGATTGGGCAATAGCCATTGTTTTGGAGCCTGGGATCCAGGCAGGGACCCTCTGGCTGTCCTTAATTCAAATTTCTGTAGTAATGAAAGTGAAATATGCAAAGGCTCCTGAAGGCAGCATGGTCTTTGAATATAGAGGGAGGGAAATGCCCACAATCAAGTGTTCCAAAAGAGCTGGCCACTGTGAAATAAAGCTAAAATTGGCTTTAATAACACCATAATAATGACTGTTGATCATTAGCATTCATTGGGCCTTATTAGGTGCCACACATTATTGCTGAGCACTTCCATTTATTACCTCCTTTGATCTGAAAACAGCCAGGGAAAGTAGGCATTAAAAGCACATTTATAGAGGAGAAAGCTGATGCTCAGAGAAGGTAATTTTCCTAAGTTTCCCACTGTGTCAGTTCTGATGCCCATCTAGTGCTCTTGCTCACTTTATTCTCCTGCTTCCCCAGACCGGACAAAAAACAGTTGATTCAGACACTCTCAACTGCCTCATTCAATACTTTAGTAAATGGTTGCAACCTGTGTTCCCTGACCAGCCACTGTGGCCTCACTTCCCTGCTGTAAGTCCTCCTCATTGACTTCTGGGATAAGTTCAAATGTCTTAACATCATTTAGAAGGACCATGGTAATCTGGCTTCAGCAGAGCAGTTTTACTCTCCTGCTTCTGAGTCCTTGCACATAGTTGTTGTTTCAGCTACATCTGCTACTAAGATGTGCCACACTCTCTGGCCTCCTGCTTGGTTCACATTCTTCCTGAAACTCTCTCTAGCAATACCTCCCAGGCAATTTTAAGACCAAGGTTATTAGAAGCATTCCGTGAGCTCTCCAGGCATCAATGGCTGCCTCCACATTCTCTTAATGTTTTGTGCATACCCCTAGAGCATTCATCATGTTGTTAATTATTGATTTGCTTCTGTTTCTCTTGCAAAGGTGGTGACTGATTTAAAGGCGGGCAGGGACTGTGTCCTTTTTAATCTAAGAATTGGCAGTCCTTAGCACAGGTACCTTTCACCTCACAGATACTAAATGAATGCTGACTGCATGAATGAATGAAAAAACGAAGACTTAAATGTCTGAAAATCATGCTTCGATTGCACTTTCTTTCGGGGATTTCTTTCAAAAGTGGGATAAAGCCTCCAGCGTCACTCTGAGTTCTGTGCTAGGGAAGAGCCAAAGGCCTTGGAGAACGCTATTTTGCATGATTTACCAAGCTAAGCAGATCTCAGCCACCTACCATGCAGAGTGAAAAAGTCACGCCAGGGGTAAGGTACAAGGCAGAGCAATGAAACCAGTGAAGCTGAAAGATATGCTTAATACGCATATTATTATTGCCATAATGGTAGGCAGAGGGACTATAGGGGAAAGGTCTAAAGCGGGAAAAATGAGCTGAAGGAAAGCAACAGCTGAAAGTAGGATCTTGCTCTTCCAGTGCTCAGTTGTTGCTGCAACTCCTCTCAGTGCGTCTGCTCAGCCTGGCTTTGGAAATGCAGCATCACCAACCATGAGCTCAAAACACACTCACCCCTGTGTGGCTTTTTCACTCTGCAAGGTAGGTGGCTCAGATGGGCTTAGCTTGGCAAATCTTGCAAAATGGGGTTCTCCACCGGGCTTTGCCTCTTCCCTAGCACAGGGCCCAGAGTGATGCTGGAGGCTTTATCCCACTTTTGGAAGAAACCCCCAAAAGAAAGTGCAATCGAAGCATGCTTATAAGGACAGGAATGCAAATGTTGGCAACATAAAATCAGTTGCTTGGGAAATAACAATGAGTAGAAATCTGTGCATATTTTAAATGCTGGTTATATATTTGGACATAATCATCTTTACCGGCTGTACAGTTGAATGTAACTACTGATTTGTTTTGACTTTGATTAGAATTCATAAACATATTGCCTGACATAACCATGAACTCTAAGGTCTAGATGGTTTGATTACAGACGATTCTATAACATGGACAATAACTCATTGGTTTGGGTGAAATTATAAACAGTGGAAGTTCTCTTAACCAAGCTCCAATTAACCAATTTATCAGAATAATTGTGGCTGCCTGTCCTCTGTAAATTATATTGACCAATGACAGAGAATGCTCCAGATTAATAGGTCTTTCTCTCTAGTACCCCTGTGTACTTCTGCTCCCGCTACCTCTTGAGCTGTAAGCTTAAAAATTTAGAGGTAATTAAATTTATTCCCAAGCCTGTTTTGTCCCAGTTTTACTTGTTGTTGTAACTATGTAATTTAATGAATCTTACATAACCTATGAAATATGAGTATAGTATTTCTATGACAATAAAATCAAATGCTTGGAAAGATTCAATAAAGGGAGTTCATTAAGCAAACATCTACTATTAATTATGCAGAGGAAAAACTCAAAAACATAGGGGAAAATAAAAATCTAGATGGGGCAAACATTTTGATTGCTTTGAATTTTTAAAATTCTCACCATATTAAAAAATAAACAAGCAAAAAAAGAAAAGTCCCTAAAAGTGGAAATCATAAACTGTGTATTATGGCTATGGTTTAGGCAAATAAACAAGTAAAAAGACTTGTAACTATAATCAGCAGAATATTCATAGGAAAGGCCTTGGCTTCCCCCATAAGACTGGCAAAATTTTAAATTAAACATTTATATTATGGAGATATATATATATATGTATATATATATATATATATATATATATATATACACTTCCTTTAATTCCCTACAGTAGCTGACTCTTTCAATTAATGGACTTTTTCTAATTAGCTCTAGTCTTATCATAATCAGATAAAAAGGCTTCTGCTGCAGGGCCACTCAGAGTGTTGTCCTTGGACCATAGCAGCCTCATGACGAAGTTTGTTAGAAATGCAGAATCTTAGGCCCCATTTGGAAACAGTGCCCAAGAACTGTGTTTTTATAAAAAATAATTTTTAATATTTTAATAACAGTTAACATACAATATTAGTTTCAGGTGTACAACATAGTGATCAGACATTTATATAATTTATGATGCAATCACTCCTATAATTCTAGTACCCATCTGCCACCATACATAGTTATTACAATATTACTGACTATATTCTCTATACTGTACTTTATATCCTGAAGACTATTTTGTAACTTCCAATCTGTATTTCTTAATCCTTTCTCCCTTTCCTCTCATTTCCCCAACCTCTCTCCCATCTAACCATCAAAATGTGCTCTGTATCAAGGAGTTTGTTTCTGTTTTGTCTGTTCATCTTTGTTTTTTTAACAAGCTCTTCAGGTGACTCTGAGGCCTATGAAAGTTGGAGAAGCGCTGCTCCAATGGATTCACACACTGTTGGACGCGCTAAGAATGGATACGGCCTATTTCGACAGAAACATGGCACAAGACTTCCCACAGTAAGATTTCCATTTCAATATGACCCAGCAATCTCCCTTTTAGGAATATTTTCTAGTGATTTAATTTAAAAGAAGAAAAGTTGAAGAAAGATATCTATGCATAAAGATATCCACAATTGTACTATCTACTATAATAAATAATTAAAAGCCATCTAAGAAGAGAAGAATGGTAAATTACAGTCACTAAATAAAAATGATAGATATTGAGGGTTATACAGTAGTAATGTGTTTATAAAATTAAGTAAAACTGTAACATGCACTATGGTTATAATTATGTAATATAACTATCAACCTGAAAATGACTTGTTCCATTGTATTAAGATGGTACTGGGTGATAATTTCATTTTCATCTTTAAAAATTATTTAAATATCAGTTGTAATAATGGTTATATAATGATACTATCTTAATTATGTCATTTAAAAGCACCATTACTTAAATACTACACTTTCAATGCACAATTTAGAGACCTTTTTAACTATGTAAAACTGTGCTGCAGCATCACTAGCCAGCTGTTGTATGTAAAACATCAAGATCTAATATCTTTTGTGACAGATGGGCAGTTAGAGAAATCAGTTTTAACTAAGGAAGCTATGAATACCTGAGTTATCTTCATCTTTGCGGATTTTGAGCTTCACCAGGTCTTCGCACTGCTGGAGGATCTGAACTGCATCTTCCATGGAACAGTTGTCCAGCCGAATGTTATCTATTGCAAGTAATTTATCCCCAAGTTCCAGGGTTCCAGTTCTGTTAATAAATGCAAAGCAACACATGAGTAATGATGAGCACTTAACCAGGCTCATCGTTAAAGAGGCGTTAAGCGTAATGTAGCATTATGGTAGTCTTAGCGGAAAAGAGGTTCTTCAACTGTTTTTAAATAGAATTTTATTGACAACCCCCCCCCTCTTTTTTCCAGTCTTATTTTGGATGGCCGCCATGACATTAAGTTGCAGAGTATTAAAAACAGTTTTTTCTTGTGTTGTCTTCTATCAGATCAGGACAACAATGCAAGCTTCACTCAGAAATTCTAAGCTTCCTGGGAAGGAAGGTAATGTCTTGGGTCTATAGCAAGATGCCTCATGCTTATGCACATTATTGAGCTACTCTTTTGATCCGTGGCAGTCTAGGTGCTAGGAGAGGGTTGGGGGAGTGAGGAAAGTTAAGGTGGGGTACACTTAGCAGAGGTCTGAGACGTGGCGCCTCTGCCATTTCCACCTGCACAGGGAAACTCAGTTATGGCTGCAGTAGGAAGAAAACCTATCTGCAGTGGGGTGTTTCCATTGAGAATATAGGACGGTGGAGCTCTGCAGGTCTATTGAGGATTTTCCCATCATGAAACGAGAAAAATAATATGAATGTATATGTGTTTGTATGTGCACATATGTATACACACATACATATACACACAAACCTTAAGTAAGGTTATGTTTTGATAAGAACTACCCTTTATGTATTATGTCTGTGACGGACACTGCAAATTGCTCCCCAGCATCTCTTCTCTCCTTCTTTCTTTGGGATTACCCCCTAGCGATGCACATCCCAGACTCACTCAGGACCACCCCCAGCTCCCCTCTGTGACTAGAAAATTGCAACGCTGAGCAAGCTGGCCAGGATGGCAGAGCGGCTTCCCCAGCCCGGCACTTCCTGCCTAGCTCCCAACTGTGATATGAGAAACAAACTGCTGTCTTCTTTGATCCACTCTATCTACGAGTCTCTTTGTCACGGTGGAACCCATACCTGTCTGTATATCTAAACTCACACACTGCCCGTACTATTTTTTGAGGGTTAAAGTATTTCTTGAATGAAATGGCTGTGATAATAGATGGGATTTAAAAAATGTTTTAACAGGAAAATAAAAAGAAGTTAACAGTCTTATGTTAGCACTCTCCAAATATTTAAAAAAATAGTTTTGATCTGTGAAGCCAAAGGTTTGAGCAAAAAAGAAAAAAAGAAATAAAGGATTCATGGACATGGACAATAGTGCCGTGATTGCCAGGGGTGAAGGGGATGGAGGGAAGTGGAGGAGGGTTGGGGGGTAAATGGTGATGGAAGGGCACTTGGCTTGGGGTGGTGAACACACAATACAGTGTGTCCAATAAATTCAATTTAAAAAAAGTTTGAGACTTCCTGATTTTGATGGTGTATGGACCAAATAAGAAATATAAACATTAAATCTCAAGGATCAGGATTGGCGAGGAAGGACATTCTGGCATCTCGCAAAGCTCTTACACAAGCTACTATCTCCATATGGGGTGTCTGTCATAACTAAGGGTACATTCTGGTTTTTAGTTGGAAAATGAAAGATAGAATAAGTTCAGTGAAGGAAAGCTTATACTGGACTCATAAAACACCTTAAAAAAACATTTTGAGGCGTGTGTTTTCTGTACCACATGCAGAAATAAATGGACAGGGTGAGAGATTTCTACAATAGCCACTGACATTAAGGAATGTTAAGTATGATTCATTAATAGTGGCTGCCTGGAAAATACTGAGTCTACCATGATCCATTAGCGAGGTCTGCCTAGGGTGTGGCAAGGATCGGTTCTGCTTTAATTTAGAAATGCCTTGGAATGAACCAGAAAATCCATTTTCCTTACCTGTGTGCCACGCTGCCTTTTTTGATATCTGAAATGACAAGGGGATCCCCTGGTTTTCTACTGGAGGGTGCTGTGAAAATGAAGAAGGACTAGTCACATCTTTATATCCACGATTCACATACTACTATACATTTCGTGTTTTAAAACAATCGTTCATGTAAGTATAGTTTGTATGTAAAGCAGAGATGATCAACAAATGAATTAGAAATGTGCACTGTACATCTTCTTGATGTAAAATACATTTACATTAAAGTATTTATAAACTGAAAAACTAAAGTCACGTTATTTTAAATTTGTAATTGCAAAAAGCATCTGGAGAGCCACCCATCAGATTTAAATCTATCTTAATCTGTGATTCTCAAGAGAGGGAGATGAAGGGTCGATGGTGTAATAAGAGAATATTAAAAGCCACTGGGGGCTCCTGTTAGGGGTACCCAAGTGTGCTCCTTCTCCCCTGCCTTTCTCAGCCCCTTTCGAGGGAGAGGACCCTTGTTCATGGAAATGTACTGTATTACTCAAGTGTCCTGGGGGGAAAAGTGGGTGAGAAGTGTTGATTTAAAATTGTTTTTTTTCTACCCAGACAGAAATCTTACTAGATGTACTATTAATCTTTAAATTTTGTTTACAAATCCATACCTAGAATGTTCTAAAATGTTTTGGAATGTGACTATTTTATTTGATTGACAATAGTAAATATTTGGTGCTACTGAATTATATTTTATGCATATTCATAAAATAATAATTTATATATAACTTTTATTGAGTTTACAGATAAAACTATTATCACAGTGATCATTTTTGAGCTTTATACATTTTCTTAGAAATATTTCCATTTGACCCTGACTGGTATGGCTCGGTGGCCTGAGCACTGGCCTGCGAACTGAAAAGTCATTGGTTTGATTTCCAGATCAGGGCAGATGCCTCTATTGAGGGCCAAGTGCCCAGCTGGAGGTGAACAAGAGGCAACCAATCGATGTTTCTCACACATTGATGTTTTTCCCCCTCTTTCCCCCTCCCTCCTTCTCTCTCTGAAAATAAATAAATAAAATCTTAAAACAGAGAGAAAAATTTCCATTTGATGAGAATGAAAACAAATTAGTAAAGAGACTACTTAGAATTAATCTTGAAAATGAACTATAGCCAAAGTAAGTATAAAAATATCATCTTAATTTAAGAACTTAGAAATATCATTTAATTTAGGCTGATACTTAAAATTAACCATACCAACATTTGTAAAAAACAATTTGCTTCCAGGAGTAGATGTTTTGCCAACCTGAGCCTGTAGCGATCATTAAAAGGCCCCTAAAGTAAGATTTTATTATAAACACTCTGATCACCCCATAATAATCATAGAAACATATCATAGCCCATAATCCCATCTGAATCCCAGGAAAATGTTTATACACAAGAACAGATGGTTTAATATCTCAACACAACATGGAAAGAAAAAGCAAACTCATATTCCATACCTTACCCACTGTCTAAATTAGTCCATAGGAAATGTTAATGGGGCTTCCTTCAATCATTATTCTTGGCTTCTAGCAAAGAATGTAAAATATCTTATTCCCTACAATTAATTCATAATTTATACCTCCATTCAATGATTTAAAATAATTCCTCTAGAGAAATATAAACATCTAGTATTTTTACTCATGTCATATTTCAGTAGGGCAAATTGTTCTGGGCATGAGCACAAAAATAAAAACTTCGTTACTATGAGTAAGTATGACTTCTCTAGCATCTGCCAATGAATTTACACATTCATTTTTATAAAAATGAATATTTTGCCAAGCAGAAGTAACCATCACAGAATGCTCAATATTTCCCTTGGTTTTTTTAAAAAAAATCCATGGTCTGAAACAAAACAATAGTAGAGATAAGAAACTACATCAAACCCATCTGTGTCTTCTTTGCAACAGAGGAGAAGAGCACCATGACCTCTTGGACAAACCCGCACAGATTTGCAGAGAGGTTTGAAACTTCTGTGGTCTTACAGACAAGTGTGGTGGCCATTCTCACGTTTGCTATATCTGCTTCTTTCTCCTTTAGCCATGTCCATATCTGAGGTTTGAAAGATTCATCAGGGTGGATGCCCATTAGAGTGACAAAGTTGAACCTGTAAGTGGGTCCAAACCCCTGTGAGCTCCTGACAGTGTCACCACCAAGCCTACCAGGCACGCTACACGTGGCAGTGCATGCTTTGAGGACTTGGTCATGCTTTGTACACCCTGAGAAGTCATGCACCAGCATGCTTTGCTTGGATTATGGTGCTTTAAAAAATTAAATTAGTTGCCAACATATCAGAATTGTAGATTTTATATAAATGTGTAGCTCCTTTAAAAAAATTGGAGAGGCAATATGGATGGTATAGTGGTTACCAGGACTTGGTAGTCAGAATGCTTGGGTTTAAAATCCTGGCTCTGCCACTTATTAGCCATGTGCACTTGAGCATGTAGTCTTTAAGCTCCTTAGTTTCCAAAACAGTGATGAAGATAATAGTGGTGCTTATCTCGTACAGTTTTTGCTGTAAGGTTGTTTTTACATGTAAAGTAACTGAACCAGTGCATGTAGAATACCATATGTAAGTGTTTCTTGTTGTTACAATTATCCAGACACACTGGACTCACTTTCTCACTGCCTCCTTTAGATGGAGCCCTCCATCTCCCTTTTGTTCTCTTTTTAAAATTTTTTTCAAATACACACTACATTCAATATTATTTTGTATTAGTTTGAGGTGTACAGTATAGTGGTTAGACAATTTACAAAATGTCCCCCTCAATATTTCTAGTACCCACCTGGCACCATACGCAGTTATTACAATATTATTGACTGTATTTCCTATGTTGTACTTTACAACCCCATGGTTATTTTTTAACTATCAATCAGTACTTCTCAATCTCTTCACCTTTTTCACCCAGTCCTCCAATTCCCTCCTCTGGAAATCATCAGTTTGTCATTGTTGTCATTGGAAGGACCTCACTCACTAACTTGCTTCACCCTCAGGGCTTCTGAGTTTGTGACCCTTTGGGAGAAAATACTCTAGTACTCAGTGTTTTGAATTTGATCAGAGCTCTCCACAGAATTATTCCTTTAACACACATTTATTGAACACCAACTATGAGCTAAGCACTTCTGCTTTGGGCCCTGGCTATGAAATCCCAGAAAAGTTGGATAAAAAGGAAAGGCTGGACTGGTTACGCAAGAAGTAATTTTTTCTGGGAAGTGATTCCAACTGGAAAGGCCATACAAACATGCCATATGGGGAGGAGGTTACACTACATGGGTAAAGAGTGTGTCTTAGACAAGAAGGGTAATACAAGGTTAAGTTCTGAAAAAGAAAGAAAAAACAATCATAACCTTTTTAAATCTTGGTATAAGGTGGGTCAACATACAGAATTAAAGGGCTGACAAAAAAGAAAGAGCAATGATGCAAAATCCCATACTATAGGCAAGATATATATATCTCTCCTATATCTCTGATTTGATCCTCTGCTTCATCTACTCCATCGCTGACTCTCTGTAACGTGTTCTTCATTTCATTAGTGTATTCTTCCATTGCTTTCTAACTTATGGAGTGGCTGTTGGGAAGTCTGATACCATTCTGATTATTTGATTATTTGTATTCTTATACATTGTATAAAAACTCCCTCCTAACTTTTGCCACTGGAAGCCTGTACATTTGCCTTTTTAGTCTTAGTGTTTTTGACTCTCATGATGATGTTGCTTTGGTGTAGGTCTATTTTCATCCATCACTCATGGACCCATCAATTTGGAAACGTATATCCATCAATTCTAAGAAATTTTATGAAATTATTTGGTGCTTTACTTTCTCTCTGTTCTCTCTGTAATTATTTGGATACTGCGTTATTTGGATTCATCCCGTATAATTCCTATTTATTCTAGATTCCTCTTTTATTCTTGTCTTAATTTCTAGAAATTTTTCTCAAATTTATTTTCTCTTATTTTATTGAATTGTTCATTTCTGCCATATTATTAAGTTTCAAAAGCTCTGTTCTCCTCTGTATGTTAGTTAGCAATAGTAACCATTTCCTACCTCCCATGGATAAAATATCTTATGTTGCTAATGATGTTAATGACAGTTTTTTCCTTTCTTCTTCCTGCATGTGATATTTTTCTGTTTTTCTTCTTTATTTTTGGTAGTAGTCTTGCATATTAGATTCTTTCTTCAAGTGTCTGTCTTTTTCCCCCTTAGCTCTCTCTTCACATTAGAGTGTGGCCCTTAAAAGCCAAAACTTGGCGCATCTGAGAGGAGCTTGTGGACTTTGGTCTTCACTGTCTAGTTCGGGCCAGGCTGTTTCTTTGGGTCAGATGGCTCTGATCCTTTCTCATTCGGAGGGTATTCAGCATGGCTACCTGGCTTCTTTGAGCAGTCTCAGCACTCAGTACGTAAACTTTCACCCACTCTTGTTTTTAGAGCAGCCCTGCTACACTCAGCTGTGGCCTCCCAGTCCAGGGACCTTCTGTGTCGTGCTTCCCGGAGAATAAAACTAGGCTTCTCCCAGGAAGGAAAGGAGTACCTAGCTGTGTTAAGTGCGAGAAGGCATCTAATGGACTAATTCATTCTTAATAGATCTCCAACCGATCCTCTTGTCTTAGCTTTACCATGACTCTCACTTGAAAGTTCTGGATTTCACCAGTTCCTGGGCCTGTTGGGAGCTTAGGATATAAATCAGGTTCTTTGTCAGCTTTCCCTTCTGCTTCTTTAAATTCATCTTTCTCCATCTTCTTTGCCACTTCCAAATTTTGTTGCTGTAGTCTATTTTCCCTTTCCTCGTCTCTCTCTGTTTTTTTTTTTCTGCCTTTTGAAAAATCTATACTGTCATTTTAAATTGAGGTGTGGGGTAGGAGCAGAGAAACGCAGGCGTTCAAGCTATCATCTTTGATTCCTGGAGTTTTAAAATTACTAGTCATCCCTTGCTATCAGAAACTTTACTCTTAAAGTGGATATGGAGTCTCTTCACATAGTTGTTGGAAGAGATAGAAATCGACAGTATCTATTCTTTGTTTTAAAAAGTTTGTATTAGAAGACAGGTGAAATCTTCTGAATTT